TCTTTCCCAGCAACTGTAAATAGCTGTATTTTCCAAGTATGCCCACCACATGGAACACAGACATACAGGATTGTTGATAGATAGCAGATTATAGTACCTCCCCCATAAACTTGCCTTATAGCAATTCAGAAATCAAATTTGCAAGATGACTGGACACTAAAGCACAACGTTTTGCTCCTGAGGGCCAGAAACAACATTATCCTGGCAAAATCCTGCCTGAAATCTGATACAGACACTGCATTAAGACTTGGCCCTGCAATGCAAGGTCACCTCATGAGATGACCCAGGCTGCGGTGCCTGGTACCTAGGGCTATTTGGAAGGACAGGGATGGGCAGAGAAACGTTTGCCCAGCTCTGTATCTCATAGGCACTCAAAATCTGTGAATCCTCTATTTAGAAAATTAATTTCTAAATGGAGATCAAACTTTAAAGTGTCAGGATTTAATTTAATTCAAGAAAATGTTTCCTTCAAAGATTTAAGTGTGGCTAAAAGAAAGTGCTTCCGGCTTACGTTACCTGACAAAAATGCATCTGGAGCTAGATACATTTTCCTCTGCTCTAATCATATACACGTGCGAAGATCTGTCCTAAGAGAAGCCTCAGGATTAATTTTTCACAGGATATTAGACATTTTAGGTTCCCTTTGTCCCGAAGAGACATTAAGGGGTACACCCAAAAGATACCAGAGTGGAGCAGTCTACTTCTCACTGACGTCAGTAAGCTCTCCAGTTTTCCACTGACTTCGGTAGAAGATGACAAACTCTATAGCCAAAAAAGCCACCGAGGGGTAATCAGGTGATGCGCTGGCAGACAAGCTGGTGACTTCATACATGGCAGATGTTCCTACCTAATTTCCTCACAGCACTGAAACGTATGATACCGGAAGATTTGAAGTTCTTACCTGTTCTTTTATTTCTGTCCACATAACAATACTTTATTTCATAATCTTTAAATAAGTCATGGATTTCCTGAAAGAGACAAGTACAAGCAACATCAGAAAAATAATTCACCAGATTTAATAAATAAGTGTATAAATTCAGCTTCATCTTTTGAACTAAAACTTTCCCAATAAACAGAAAATGTCACCATGGAAACACTATCAAATATTTGTTTATAAAAGAACTGGTTATAATACTGCAGCAATGTTTTATCTCATATGAAGAATGAGCCTACTGAATTTGATAAATTTATTTTTCATTATTTGGAGGCACATAGGCACAACAGGGTGTCTTGCTGACTATCTTTTGATAAAGATAAGTTACACCACAATTCATTACACAGGAAAAAACAGTTTCTCAGACAGATAGCTCGCATAGTTAAAACATTACACAGACTAGAGATATCAGCAACACCACATTATGCAGTCTACTGAGGGCAGGCAAGGCCATGATCAAATGCAATAGTTACTCTAGTTGCCTCTAATTGCTCAAGTTCATTTTAGCAGATTTTCACTCCTTTAGTAATGAATGTTCTCTCTACCAGCGATGAATTCTGCTCAGCATACCCCCTAGGGAAGTATCCGCTGTCAATAACACAGGTGCTCAATGACGAACCCCTTAACTTTTGTTTGCTCAGAGTAATTAACGGGGAAAGAGGAGGGGAGCGGGATGGGTCGGGGAAGAGTGAGCACAGAAGGGGTATGCTGTAGTTTCCTGTAGCAAAATGTAGGCATGTGCCTCACAAAAAAACACGGACTACTACCAGCCCAACTGCAAGACTGAAGAGACGAACATTAATCAGCCCCAGGAAGAAGGCAGTTAGTAGTAACTTGGACATATTCAATCTTTTAGTTGGATAAGTCCCATACTGTAAAGCAAAACACGGTTTGAGTAAGCAGATTAATGAACAAACTTTATCTGAAAGTGTCATTGCAGACAATTTCCAGGAGCTCAGTCCACTTGCCGGTCTGCTAATTCAACGTACACCGCTTAGAGGCTAATTGGGTTCTATCTGGCTGCTATCAGGTGTACACCTTTTAGACAAGTGAACACCAATCTCTAGTTTCACTAGTTAACAGCTGTCAAATACTACATGAATAATATATATGACAGTGCTTCTCAGGCTACCGGCCATCTTCTATTCAGATGTGACAAGAACATAGTTTCTGAAAAGCAAAATATGCAAAGAATAATTCAACGGTTCGAGTCAGGTGGGGGCTTTGACCGTGGACGTTTCTCTAATGAGAATTACGATAGTAGTTCATTCGAAATCATGAGAGACTGATGAGGCAAGGGGCTTTCTCCAAAAGCTTTGAAGAGCTCAGCTGTACCGTGACACTGAAGACCCCAAAGAAGTTAATATTGTCCCACCTGGAAAAAGGGGCCACATTTACATTTTTTATTCCATACATTATTTTAAAAGAATAATCTTAAAAGGTTTATATGGCGATTAAGTGGCAGGAAGTATTATTTCAAATGGCTCTTAACACTACCTTGAAAATCCTTTGTGAAGCAGACAATTCCAGATGATTTCCTAATAACTGTTCGAAATTTTAATTGAAAAGGAAAATAACCTGTGGTGAGCGTATCTTCACGGGATAATGACGAGGTCTCATGTCGAAAGTGATGAGAATGTAACGAAAACGAAAAACTCATTAAGTAAAATAATTTTGAAAGGACACTTAAGACTTTAACACAAATTTCCAGAGGTTGCTGCAAACTCGGACAGGATCCTGTAACAGGCTCTTTTGGAAGATGCTCGCTCCTGTGCTTTCGCAGTTCCCATTGCAGGACCGAGACCTTTCATTCCACAGTTGAGTCTAGGTATTATTTCAGTGAAAACATTTTTCACATAAGGACCGTTTGTGACAATTTACAAAATTAAAGGCCACCACACTGACTCTTAAACAAATGTAAACTCCTTCAAATTATACACATGTATGTATCTATCTATCTACTAATGTCTACCCCACTAAGAGCCTTCATAATATTTTCAGAAGCGCTATGCCAGCTTTTGAATTCAAGTCGCACTTAAAATTTAAGTGACTCAGGCCTTTTCTGAATGTTACCCTCAACATCTTTCAACATTTAGGTCTGGTAGAAAAGCATGAGCACTGCAATCTTTTTGATTTTTCAATGGTTTCTGTTCTAGCCAGCCTCAAAAAGGACTGCCAGGAAAAGCAGCAGGAACATGCCGCTGCTACTAACCAGGCTGAATTATATCCCAGCATGTGCAGTGCGCCAACGGGGCTGAACATCGTTGGTCCTTCTGCTCCTAGCAGTTACCTGATATTTGGGCCAGAAAGGACTGTTTACTCTGGGAGGAGAAATGGGTGATTCAAATCAGGTATATCCTCTGGTGTGACCCTCTTGGCTCGCTGAGAATGTAAGCAAAGGCCTGTTTCCCTGAGCACGGCAAAAACAAACAGCAGCCGCTTGCAGCCGGGCTCCCGCTCCGCACCCACTGTGCCGCCACTCGACTCCTGCCACCGTCGCCATTCATGTGCCCTGGCCACCCTCACCTCTCTCCAGTCGGCTGTAGGGGAATCTCTCACCGGCCCTGCATCAGAGCTAGCTCTAAAGCACTAGCTTTCCCTGGGTTAAAGTTAGCTTTTCCAATGTAGGAGCAGTGGCTTCTGCTTCCAGGTGTCACCCCACTGCCTGTGCTTCCAGCCTGGCAAAGCCCCACCATGAGCAATATTTTCCCATGTAAGAATGACAAAACTGCTTCTCCTAAAGCATCTTTTCCTCTCATTAATGAATCTACACCAGCCTAAACAACGTGACTGACAATTACAAGAATAATAATGATTTTACTGCATTACATTAAAGCAAAATGGCAATATCCACAAACACACAGAAGGTCTAGTTGCCATGAGCGTCATACGCTGAACATCGCCCCGGATTATAATATTTTGGCAACCAAAATTGTAAATTGTTATAATGCTCTCTGGCAGAGTTATCGCAGTAATGAATCTCGTGCAGTTTCCAACACACGCGCTGTTTACAGCGGCGCGCGTTATCTTAGCTCTCAATAATTGCACTCTGAGGAGCGAGCTGCAGCGGGCTCCAGAGCCCAGGACGACATCGAGCACCAGCTCCCGGGCACAACGGCGCGGCGTGAGCGCAGCTCCAAGGCGTGCCCGTGCCGAAGAAAACCGGCGTGTGGCAGCTCCCGCGGGACCTGTCCCCGCACGTGGGCCGGCCGATATATGCCACAGGAACAGAGAGGGGGAGAAAAACAGCAGAGGGAGCTTGTTCAGGGCAACAGCAGTTGCATAAACATGCGGACCATGCCAGAAGCTCTAACTAAACATCTTGAGACAGAAATGTAACTAAGAGTGCTTAGCTATTACATAGCCCTTTCAATCTTCAAAGTTCTTCCAAATAAACTTCAAAAGCCAGTTAATCTAATCATAAGTAAAAACTAAAATCTCAACTAGAGAATAATCAGCTCATACTTCAAAAGGAGCACAGAAAAAGCGAAACCAAATTGTAAATCAAATGTTTTTTAAGAGAAAGCAGCTGTAGACATCGGCTAGATAGACTTTAAAAAATGTAAAACGTGTTATTTACTACTATAAGAAACGTGGTCTTGAAATACTTCAATTCTTGGCCTGTCCTATCTCGTCCTGGGTAGAAAAACTAACAACATGAGTATTCACTGTGTATTACCTGTTTGAAATCAGCATCTCTCAAAGGGAAAGAATGCCTTCCCTGGAGTATCTGCCTTTGTGCTTCCTTACCTGCCTTTTTCAAACACGCACCAGAAAGGCAGTCATTAGCAGGCACGTTTGCCCTATCTACCAAATCAAGAGAGCTCAACGTATTATTTCTAATCAAATCAGCTTGCCATAGCAAGGACCTAGGACTGCAAGCAAAAATATATGCAAGAAATACTTAGTCATCACCTGGCACGATATACTGTGCATAAAGCCTACAGCACCCTAAAACTAAGTATTTCTCTCTCTAGATGTAATACTGAATTATGTTATTCTGGCAACAAAAATGTTAAACCATTATAATGGTGCCTGGCAAGATTTCTATAGTAAGCTTTAGTGGTGTTTCCAACATAAACACTATACGAGCCTGATCTGTAGCGTGGCTCCTAGTAAGCAGCTGAAGACCTAAACTTCACGAAACACATATTCTTGAAACGGGAATCAATTTTGCTTTTAATCAGCTGAACCAAATAACATATCTGGCTGGTCAAGGTGTTTTAAATCATTTCACAACTAGAAAAGACTTTGTTTTCATGTGTGCAGGCAGAGTAGGAAAGAGGAGGATTTCTCAGGAAAAAGCTTTACATTTATAAATGGCCTAAGGGGATGTCCACTCAGAAGTTTCAAACCACTAAATCACTGAGTCCATGACAACACATGCAGTTCAGTGTAGACACATATAAAAAAAGTCTGTTGTGAGAAAAGGTAGTAAGCAAGAGAACATCAGCATAGTTTAAAACAATAACCTCTTACTGAGGAAAAAAAAACAGAGAATGCGTCGGAGAGCAAGAAGCGCGGTTGACAGCATGAGATACTTCCAACAAGAGATTTAGATAACAAAACACAAGGATTGGTGCAAGCTTAAATTCTCCTGTCAGCTAATGATGCCCGAGATAAGAGGTCCTCAGCTTTTCACCAGCTAGGCATCAACTGCCAGAAAAAACCCCCCTCACTCCTTAATAAGCAAGCAAAAATTCGAGCAAGGATTGGGCTCTCCATGCCAGCTGCACATTGAAACTCCTACCGAGGTGCGTTCCCTTCTTCAATAAATTTTCAGTTTTTTTCATCATTGCTCTAAAGAAAATTCTTACACGAGCACTGGCTGTTGGACTGAGTCTAACACATGTACTAGCTCTCCCACCTGCTCGGGTGTCCAGGAACAGTGGGCATATAGGTGAGGCCACAAGCTCCTCCTCAGAGCGTTCCCTCTTCGTTTCCATGAATAGCCACAAACTATGAGCCAGAAATACAATCGAGCCTATAATTCTAGGCCATAACCTGCCTTTGGGGCATACTACAGTAATGTTACCTTCTTCTTTAAGAACTGACTCTCACTTTTGTAAAACCCATATGCTCCGGAGATCTTTAATACATTCATAGAAGAAAGGATTAAGACAGAAGAACAACAGTTTCTCAATACACTTATCCTGGATAAGGAATGAAAAGCGTGTTCCTCTGCTCTTCCAGGGACATATTAGTGTGCTGATAAGAGGAAGAGTATGGGACTGGAAAACGAATTCATCATACTGGATATACCTGAGCATATGCAAACTAAATGACGTATGAAAAAGACACAGAGGAGGCACTATGTCTGAGCAAGAGCACAAGGCAAAAGGAAAGCAATAATCAAAAAGCACGTGCACCCTCAGGCATGAGCCTTCCTCACTATCCAGCAAGTAAGCCGTTCATGGTTGGCCGGCGTGACAGAGGACAAACTAAAACACAAAGGCCTCCTTCTAATTAAGTGTCCGGCTTATAACGGAGTAGAAGAGAGAAATTTCCTTAAAACATCACAGTTCATACGATGCTTTTGATCAAAAAGGAACAAGAAAAAACTGTGCTTAATCAAGAGAAAAAGGAGATAAAAAACAGAGATAGCATCATTCTAAGTGGTGATTTGTCTTTGGATCAGGAACAGACACGGGGGGAAAAGAAACTGGAGAGCAACATCAGGCCCCAGAACACAAAATAAATCCCTATGTGTGGACTGTACCAGTTCCTTACCAACATCCGAATGCTTTGTCTTTAGTTTCTGTCGTGCCAAAGAAGAACTACAGAGCATTAAAATGACTAATCAGCCCTACTTTAGCTCAGGTCCTACGTGAAGCAAGTGCAACTTATGCATCACTAGTTCCTTAGCTGCAAAGAGCACATAGGGGAATCAAAAACTGAACTGCCTTTGTTGGTCATCTAATCTTAGCGGTGAAGACAGCAGATTTTGCTATCCATCTCAGTAATGATTAGTAAAAAAGATAATCCAAGTTCTACTCCTCCTAAGAGCAATTTTGAGGGATCTTAACTGGCATGCCAGAGTATCAGACTGCCGATTTATACCACGTTTATAAGCTGCTACTTCTAAATTAATCAGACATAGACGAGGAACCACTAACAGTGTAAAAACAATGACTTGGGAAAATCAAACCCAAATATTATCATCCACTAGGACAATTGCAAAAACCAAAACAAACAGAAGCTGACTTGCCGTACATTACTCCAGTAAATTAAAGCTTTCCCTGTTTTAGTAAGGTACAACTTCACTTACACCCTGGTCATCTCGCAGTTCTTCGCATCTCTCCCGCCGTAAAGGACAAAACGGAGTCAGGACTTCCTTCGCTCTCTCCACCCTGAGAAGGCCTCCTGCGTCCCAGAGCACCCTGAGCAGTTTCACGCCTGTCCAACGACTTCCAGTTTGTGCTGCATGCCTTGATCACTGTGCGCTGCCAACACTGTACGCAACTGTGGTACTTGCCGTTGAGATGTATGAGTTGATTCCTCAGAACTGATGCTTCACGGAGATACATGCACAACAAAGCAACCACTGGGACCTCCAACCAAGAGATTGCTAATTACTGAGCACTGACCAGAACGAAAGAAAACTGCAACTAAGCTTACCTTTACATCTCTCTGCAAAGATCCTTGGTACTAACGCCAGTCTCACCATTAAAACGCATCAGAGGATGTTAATGCTAATGAGAGCAGACCCACCAATCTGACAATATGAGAAGAATATCAATACCAATGAGATCTTTCCTGCCCTACTGTAAAACATCACGTAGCGCTGCCCTGCTAGAATTGCTCGGATGCTGCCTACGGCCTTTTAGCCTAGCGGAGCCATAAAAACATTACTCTGGTAAAAGCAGATGACGCTCCCCACTCTTGCAACAAGGAATATATGTCAGCGGAGCATACTTTGCAAAGGCCAGAGGCGGAGAGGGGATCGTCTCTTCGCAGAGCACATCCTGTACACGAAGGCTGGTATGCAGCACGGCGTTCTCCATGGAGTTTAGGAAGGCAAGTTGTGAATCCAGACGTGGCTTGGTCCAAACCATGTCCTGAACTCTCCTTTACAGCAGTAGCCAGTGCTACAATAGTGCCTCAAAACCTGAAGTACGTTCAAAATAAATACCTAGGCATCCTATATTCTCAGTGTACGGAGTGTGACCAGATTACACCTCTTTCGTAGCTTCTGAGAAGGAAGACCTTAGCAGAGAGGAGAAAGAATGCCTTACTAGAAGAAGAAACTGAATAGATTTTTAATATAGTTTTCACACAGCCACAATGATTTAAAAAAAAAAAAAATTGATTGGGGGAGGGAAGGAAAACACTGCATTAGTTTCGGCAGGAGTTGATCTGGTAAGCAGTTTTACCAGCAATGCTGACCCAGCTAACAGAGTTCACAGTCAGATCAGGAACAAATTCATGTCCATATAATTTTATTTTCACAGCAATCTAAAAAGTAATAAAAAAATACAGCTGTACAGCTATCAAAGGTGCTTTATGTCAGGATTCAGAGATCACAGCAACAGTTACATCAACTTGCTGAACCTTTTATAACATGCCTTTGTCTTGCTACAGATACAAATATCGTGTTAAGGCAAAAAGTTTCAAACAGCATACAGCAAGATCTTGGCAGACAGAGGCAAGCACAGTTCAGGTACTACGCTGGAGGAATCGGATGAGGACGAATACGGGGAATTAAGTGGCAAGTTTGGAAGACTTAACTGTGACACGTCAGTACAAAATTGATTAACATGCAAACAAAAAAGTAATCTGAGACTTTGTCTTCAAGAACAGTAGTCAGTAAAGGTAGTGACAAAAACGTTTATCACAGGCTTGATTAAAAAAAAAAAACAAATAAACTTCCTCCATGGCTGTAGCGAGAGAACTGCTGGAAGCACTATTAAACCTACTAGCAAATACCTGCAGACTGAGCTATAACGCCTACTTCAGAAAGAATCTTCTCTATGTAATTTTGACTTAATAAGTTTGCTTCCCCTTCAGGCTTATTTCACGCTTACATGTAACGAAGCTAGTAAGGGAACGATGATTTACTTGAGAACGACAGACCGCTCTCTTCGGACTGCTCTTCCTCTGAAAAACAGGCTCTAGATTTTCTGAGGAATACGGATGTTGTCAAATGCATTCAGAGGGAAACCTAACTTATCAAGATTCAAACGTGGGCACCCTTTTCGCCCTCACCATAGCCACATGGCCACTCTTCTGACACCTAAAAATCTATTTGTTTGGTTTCTGAGACTACAGCTCTGTGGCTGTCTGTTTCTGCTTCAAAAACTTCTTGACTATGGCACATTTTTCCTGTGGCCTTAGGAGTATTTTTTTTTAACCTCAATTTAACTCAGATGGAACTCCAAAGGTAACAGATTACATGTACAATAATAAATAAAAAAGTTAATATGTAGCTGCAGTAGGCAGAGGAAAATGCTCACTACCAAATTTCACCTGAAAAAATTTGAGTTCTGTTCTCATTTTGAAAATAAGAAACCTTTTGGCAGAACTGAACATCTCCATCAATCACATCTATATCAGCAAAAGAGATGCTTCTTACTGGAAACCTATTTTGGTAAAGGTTGGCCTCACTCTTTGCATAACAACAACAGCTGATAGTAAACCTAGCATCAGAGGTGGATAATTACTTTCTGAAATCCTATTCTGAAAGCCTTTGCTGCATCTTCAGTGATGCTCATCTCTTTCTTTATGGAGAATCAATTGTCCGATAGTTTTATCATGTTTTACTTGGATAACTAACCAGTTCAACGGCAAAGTAGCAAAGAAAACATCTTTGCATAGTGTTCACCAAGGGTGTTAATTCGATTTGAAGTACGATGAATTTCATGGTAATTTATGGAAATAACATGACAATCAAATATACAGTTATGCTTAACGCGCCTGACCACAAACATACTTTTCCCTTCCAAAAATCACTCCAGGATAGAAAGTTTCTCTCCGTAGTGTGAATATTCCCCCTTTATGTACTAACATCAATTGCTGGATTACGTTAAAAGTTAAAATAACACCTTTTCCAAACGTATTTCAGGACCTCTATGCTATGATAGTACCGTCCATCTACTACTAGGCTAGAAGCACACGAATCTCATATATCAAGAGAAAGACGTTTGTCTCAGTGCTACTTCTAAGTCGCCAAACAAAGTGGGCAAGCTTCCAAGATACAGTATGGCTGCAAAACTAGACTTTCACGCTAATATTGTCTTGCAGCACTCTTTAGCTGAGTAAGCAATACCAAATTTGACAATTTCCACGTATACCGGACCTGTATTTAACCGGTCCTTGCATGAATTCACGAGGCGCTTGCTGTGGGAAACGCCAACCTTTAGCGCAACCGCTGCAGCGCCTGACAAGGTGACGGAGCTGCGGCTCTCGGCAGCTGGGATCCCGTGATGTGCCGGGAAGTCCTCTCCGTCAACACCACCGCGACGTGCGACGGCCCTCAAGGCGATGGGGATTAGTGAGGTTTTCCGAGCTGTGACTTAGCAAGAGCTGGCTACAGAGGAGGTCACCAGAGCGCTACGAACAGAGGCGAAGCTCTGCGCGACCACCCTGCAGGAGGCAGAGCAAGACTCTCACTTGTAAAACTGCAATTACCTGGCGACTGGGCTGCAGCACGGCCAACCGGGCTGGAAGGCCAGGGCCACGCGCACGAGAACGAAATGTCAGGAACGGCCGCTGCAAGCCGCTCCTGCGGTCTGGACCGAATTACGCTGATCTGTGGAAGGTTCTCTCTAGAAAAAATGGACGCTTGCTACGGAAAGGGTATTAGTCTTCACGTACTGCGCCTACCTGCAGGTAGCAAGTACTTCGCTAAGCAAGTAGGTACCTCTGCCCTCGAGAAAAGGAGGAAGAGATATGAGGAACGTTTCAGAATAAAAACCGTAACTGCATATTTTTTACGCTCGTGCATCCGGTTAAATACGTCCACCAGGTTAGAGCCCCTAAAGATCCGGCAAGCGGTTGCGCCATTAAATCATCCCGAGACCTGACTCACGCGCTCCTCGCGTCGGCTCTGAGAGCTCCCCGGACCTCGCTAAGGACTGCAACAACCGGTGGGAAATTCTCCTAAACCACCAACGGACCCCGAAAGACCGATGCCGGGGTGGGGGGGGGGGGGG